CATTATTGCTATTATTGTGATTCTGGGTTTTATTTGATATAGACTAATGTTATTGCTATTAATGTATTTATTCATTTTATAATGCTGATGAGGTTGAATTTTGCACACTAGCACTGTAATAATAGTTTATTAATATCGCATAATAATGTTAACTATTAGTATTCTTTTTTCTCTTTTTTGCCGCAGTCGGTATATTTCATCAATATTATTATTCTTTTATTATATTTTTTCCTGATAATGTTATTATCAACAACTGACTTTTACCATCATAGTATTGTATTAGAATTATTTTCGTTTCCCATCATCAATATTAATATTATTTTCATTATCATTTGATTACTGATATAACCTTAATCATTGCTATCTTTGCCATTACCAGCAATACAATTTTGGTAATCAATTTGAAAGTAATGTATACGTAACTATAATGAACAAATGGTGCTCACGTTCACTAAAGTCTTAATGATTATTTCTAATATCGATAGCATTATAGTTATTTTTCTCTTGAATCAATTTAATATATTTTCTTATTATGAGCAATTTTACATCTGACATCATCAGTATTCTTGTAGTGTGTGTGTGTGTCTTTACCATATTAACTGCTATTTTTCTGTCCCTTTCTTGATCTTTTCATTTACTTTTCCATTATCTTCATTATTCTTTAATCCTCGTTCCTCTGAACTTTCACATCACTCCTTCCCTTCCTTCCCCAGACACGACATCCTTCAGGAGAGCCCAAGACCCAGCTCCTCGACCGCCCCGTCCTTCTCCCTGTCACCTTCTAACTCGAGCCAAGGAGAAGACCCCCTGAGACACTGGAGACGCGTCAAAGGCATCTTCTCGAACATGGAGTCTATCCTGGAGAAGCTCTACGAGGGAGAGATCAGGTCAGGTCATGTTCCTCTACATTTAATACCGAAGATGATGCTCGTCGGCGATGCTGTCTACGGTGCGAAGACGATTTATAAAAGACTCGATCCCGATTTGGTCGATTTGGTAAGAGAAAAGTTGAGTTCTGGGTTCCTGAGGAGGTTCAAGGAGCCCCTGGGAGAGATCCTGACCGTTCCGGACGTCCAGGAGATCGTCGACGACCTCGTGACCAGGTTCGTCGTCGAGACCGGCCACTTCCTCCACCACCAGGCCATGACCTTCGCCCACGAACTCGAGTTCGTGACCGAGCTCATGTTGTCCTCGGGGTTCGAGAAGGAGGAGATTTCGGTCGTCCTCAAGCTCCTTGGCCTTCCTCCCTTTCCTCGAGAGATAGAGGGGTACTCAGGAGAACCTCCCCTGGATGATTCTCCTGTAGAAGCCGCCGTAGACGGTTCCCGACGGCGTTCGAGAGACAGGAGGTTCAATTCCAACAGGAGGAATTCCGAGTATGACTACCCAGCGGGCGGGTACGGTTACCAAGGCGGGTACTCGGGTGGCTACGGAGGCGGCGGAGGCTACGGAGGGGGCTACAGTGCTGACGGATACGGCGGGGGCTACGACGCGGGAGGCTACGGGGGCTACGGGGGCTATATGCAAGACATGTCCAAGATCGACCCTTTCGTCATCCTGGGCGGACTGGCCTTCCTCACCCTCTGCTCCTACGTGACCTTCCTCGTCCTCTCCAGCAAGACGAGGAAGCGCAGCGTGCCGGACTTGAGCCTCGACCTTTCCGATCTTCCGAATCTGAACTTGATCTTCGAGGCGATGGACGAGGAGTCTTTCGGGGCCTCGAAGCAGGTGAGGCTCTGGGGGGTTTTCGATGGAGGTCAGAAGGATGTGGGGAAATCTGCTCTGTGGGGAAGAGGAATGTTCTGAGTATTATTAGTATGCAAGATTTATTTTCAAGTTAAAGGATGCGTTGGAATCTGTTCTGTAAAGAAGAAAAAATATGGAAATTAATGAATTAATAGATTTATATGTGTGTGTGTGTGTGTGTATTAAGAGTATTACTGACACGAGTATGCATGGTAAGCTTTCTTTCAAGTTAGTGGTCCTGATGATTATGGTGAAAATATGATATACTAACGAGGAGAGGTAACATTGGGGACAGTATCAATCTTTAAGGTACTAAAGACAAAATCAGTAATGGTAATGAATCTGATGATGGTAATAGCACTAATGATAATATTACTAAAGATAAAGTCAATAATAATTCAGTCATATACCCTTTCGTTCTCAATTCCTTCCTTTTCATTCTCCCTCCTTTCATGTCTCCCCGTCCCTTCTTCCCATCCATCCTTACTACCCCTCACCACCCTTCTTCCCTTCCCCTCTTCCACTTATTCCCCCCTTCCGATGATAAACAAAGATAAAATATGGACTCCTTCTTATCACAGGGTACTGAGGACCTCCTCGCCGTCATCCCACACGAGGTAAATCTAATGTGGAGGAACTACAAGCAAGATCCAAGCACAGGGTCTTGCATGCAGCAGTTCTTGTGCGAGAGTGTCTTCCGTCGCACACAGCAACACCTCCTCAGTTCGAACGATTTTCTGATACAGATTATAAG